AAGAAGAAGATAGCAGGAGGGGAAGAATGAAGCGGGGGGAATCGGAGGGGGAGATGAACCATGAGAGACTATGGACTCTGAAAAAAAAACTGAGGGTTCTAAAGGGGAGGCAGGTGGGGGGATGGGTTAGCCTGGTGATGGGTATTAAAGAGAGCACATATTGAATGGAGCACTGGGTGTTATAAGCAAACAATGAATCATGGAACACTACATCAAAAACTAATGATGTAATGTATGGTGATTAACATAACATAATAAAAAAAAGGGAGAATTCCTATCACATCTCAACAACCAATAGAAGAAGAAAAAACTTTTTTTCCCTTTAATGTGAGGAATAGGTTGAAATTGGGGGGTGGAAGTAGGGTTGGGGATGGGCAGGGTAACTGACTTTGCTGCTATCTGAACAAAATCAAAAGTTGATCACCCACCCTTTTTTTTATAACCCATATTGAGTCAGAGAGGTGTTTTGTTTTGTTTTGTTTTGTTAAACTGGTACAGGACTGTGAAGGAATATATGTCATTCTAAGTGATAGAAACCTCATCTCCAACAAAAAAAGGGATTTCTTGGTCTTTTTAATTCAATAGTCCAAGGGTAGATTTTGCTTTGGGAGAGGCTGAATACAGGTTGAGCAGTGTAGTCAGGACATGGCTTCTCATTCAGACCACTGTTTCCCATGTGATCACAAGATGGCTAGCAGCAGCTCCCTAGCGTGCATCCTACTTTCTCACACTGTGAAAAGATGGGGGGTCTTTGTCCCAGCATTTCTTGCCAGGTCTCATTGTATTTCTTTGGCTCTGAATGCACCACACCCATTTCTGAACCAAACATTCTGGCTAGAGAAATGCATTGATTTGAGTGGTTTAGTCCTAAATCATATATTCCAGATCTGAGCTATGGAGGCTTCAACATGTGAGCTGAGAGTGGTGAAGAAAGTGGACCCCAGAGGGAAATTGGAGTATGACCACCAAGAAGAGGTGGATCCTAGATGGCAAAATGTCCCTTGTACAGTACTTGGGAGGGGGGACAGGAGAAGAGACTCTATGAATTTAATCTTGTACGCTTTTGTTAATGTTAAAAACTGGATAGCTATGTCATAGCTGAATGTTTGTGTCCCTCCCCCGACAAAATTCCTACCGTTGAAGTCCTAACCTCCAATGTGGTGGTATATAGCGGTGGGGCTTTGGGGAGCTGATTAGGTAATGAAGGTGGAGCCTTCATGATGGGATTAGTGCCCTTATTAGAGGAGACAGGAGAGAGAGATCTCTGCCATGTGAGGATACAGCAAGCAGACTGCTGTTTGCAAATCAGGAAGAGGATTCTCACCAGAACCTAATTGACTGACGGGACCCTTTGATCCTGGACTTCTCAACTTCCAGAACTATGAGAAATAAATCTCTGTTGTTTTAACCAGCCAGTCTATAGTATTTTGTTATGGCAGGCTGAGCAGATTAAGACAGTAGCCAGATCTTACTTTTTGAAAAAGTAAAGACATGAGGAGGGAGCAAAATGTTCCCCATCCCCTATATTTTCTCTCATGTTTTCAAGTCTTTGTGGTTATTTGGGTGACAGTGTTTGTTAAGATGAGCTGGTCTAGAATGTGAAACAAGTCCTCAGGATAATTAATGATCACTGCCACTGCAGAAAGACCATCTTGTACCACAAGAGCTATGTCTTTTTTAATCCTTTATTTCTATTACTGGCTTTAAATAATGTTTCTGACAAGACTTTGCTTTTCTTTCTGTCAACTGTTGGTAAGCAGGTATTGGGCATTATTTGTGGGGCTGTAAATACATTACATGAAAAAATAATGAGTCCTTAAAAAGTCAAGAGAAATGCCTCCAGAGACGTTTACCTAACATGGTGATTTATGTAGGGCTGAGAATGAGGTTTCAGAATCTTACAAATGAAAATTCTGGAACATAAACTAAAGTCTCTTCCAAATGTGTGTTTGTTGTGGCCCCTGCACACATTTCCCTTTTACTTCTAATCTGGAAGTTAGAGAACGTTTTTCAAGCTCAACTTAAATTGTTTAGTTAATGATCTAAGAATAACTCTTGGGAGCATCCCTCTGCATAGCATGTTATTACTCCATTCCTCTGACTGAATTTGATGTATCTATTGTGTTCTCATTGCATAAACTGATCCCTGGGATTAATCATTTTCTTTTTACCAGCTAGAAATTGTAGACATTTAATGGATATACCTACATCAGTCAATTTAATGAGTCTCATTGTCTGGGGTTTTAAATATACTGATCATTCTAATGTTGAAATATAATTGACATTCCTTCTTATTCCAAGCTTCCAAGTTTTCCAAGTTTGTCCCTCCTTCCTGCCTGAGGAAGGTAATTTAGCTAAAACTTCTTTTGAAAAGTTTTCAGGGCCTAGGAACTCAAGGGCATCCACTGAGTAATGTCAGAAGAAGCTAAACAGTCTTTGCTTCCTTTCCTATGGTATACCTTAAGCAATCACGTAAATTTCTATGACAAGGAATATTCTATCATCCTAGTAGGAATTGTTCTGTGGAGGATCATGCTGGCTAATAGAACCAGGTGTATCTCTAGCAGCCTTGCCATTGAAAAGGAAGATGGGATGTTGACATGGCTGCCACATCTGTCACTGGGTGGAGAGCCAGGGTAGAGTCAGAGGGCCTGACAGGGTAGTCAGGGGCCTTTTAACCCTCCAGAAGTGGAATACAAGGCCAATGGATGGCCTTCCCAGATACAAGAGGACCATTCACTTACCAAAACAGTTACAAGATATTAAGTGGATTCAAGCCTGAGTCATAATTAATGGTTTTTGATTTCTGTTTTGTTTTCAGTTGTTTGAATTTATGAACTTCTTGGCCGAGAATGTCATCTTCTGTTACATGGGCCTGGCGCTATTCACGTTCCAGAATCATATCTTTAATGCTCTTTTTATACTCGGAGCCTTTGTATCCTTTGAAATACAGAACATGGAGTGATGAGGGAAAAGAGCAAACTACTTACTTTCACTGATTATTCTGTTAAATTGTTAAGTAATTTCCTCAAGTTTATTGCAAGGCTCAAATTCATGGCAGATATGTAATTTCTAGTAGGAGGGAAAAGATCCTAAGAAATTGGGACCTTTATTAAATGCTTCTGTTTCCAAGATAAGAAATTTGGAAAATACTGAGAGAAATAAAGGGGGGAAACTGAAGGAGAATAGAATACTCAAATAATGAATATTCAAAATATATTTACTTCCTGAATAGTCAAAGTATGTTCTTAAATTATGAATCATTTACATAAAAATACATCAATCCATTCTTTACAGAGAAATATACTTAATCTGCATTAGAGTGTATCTGAATATAGTTAGGATTATTAAGCTTTAGAAATATTTTCATCACAAGATGGTAAAATCACTTTTCCAGTGAGGACTTTGGAAATAGGATACACAGAGTAAAGATCAGATGAAATTAGCATTATAGATGTGATTCCAGTGTCTTATGTAAGTGTACATGTGAGTTTATTTTAATAAGATTACCCTTTCCTATAAGTAAAATAACAGATAAAATATAGACCCCCCTTTTATTTATTTTTTTTTTAAGATTTTTTATTTTTTATTAGAGAGAGTACAAGCAGGGGGAGCGACAGGTAGAGGGAGAGGGAGAAGCAGGCTCCCCGCTCAACAGGGAGCCGAACGCGGGACTCAGTCCCAGGACCCTGGAATCATGACCTGGGCCAAAGGCAGATGCTTAACCGACTGAGCCACCCAGCCACCCCTAGACCTCCCTTTTAATGCAGAGGACTTTTGTAGCTCTAGGCCTGGGGTGTAAGCATTCCCCAGTAGGAATGGATGTCTCTTTGATAGGATACTGAGCTGCTATGGTTGTCCCCAAGTACAGTTAGCAACTGTTGTCCTTTGGAAAATGGGCAGATGCCCCATCAGATCACAGGCACGTGATCCTGACAGCCAGGAGTTGACCGTCTTCTGTAAGCCCTATTCCAATAAGCATCTGCATTTGCCTTCTGTCCTCTTTTCACTAAACATCCAACTGAACACTCCAATTTCATCCAAAACCTACATCTTAGATGGAAGCTCCCTCTTCCCACATAACTCCATCCCATTTGAGGACAAACTAGAGTCTACAGACTCTCAGGGAAGGAGTTCTGGGTGATGAAAGGGAAGAGATGACTACCACCAGTATTTTTGTAGATTTTAACCTGTAAAGTCTGAACTTTAGCAAAATGCTTCCTAAAGGAGTTGTATTATACATTTAGACAGGCAATTCCTGTCAAAATTAAATCCACTAAGAGAAAAAAAGTAAGTGAAGCTTGCCAGATACAGGGAGTATAAACTGATGGAAGGTGAGATGGCAATCATGAGCAGAAGTACATCTATCCTTTCTAACGTGCTGCTTGAGAAGATAATGCCCCAGCCTCTGAACGGTCTCTGCCTCACATTTTGCAGCAGAGTTGAGCAAAGAGTCAGTCATCAGCAACATAAATGTGCTGAGAAAATTTACAGTGATTGAAATGGTACAGGGCTAACAATTCTAAACCAGGTAGATATTCAAAGAAAAGCAGAGTTCTCTGCTATTTCTGGAAAGGAATTGACATTTAAGGATGAATTTTGGAAGCAAGTTGGACATACAGGTATTGACATATTTATCCCTGTTTTCTGGGCCATAAAATAGAGAAGCTTAAGAACATAATAGTTAAAGCTCAAGGATTCGCAGCCTCATTGCAGCAATGTTTTCCTCAATGTTTCCCTGTGCTTCTCTGTAGCTCGCAATTTTTGTTGCCAGAGCCTGCAACATATATCCCCTCTCCTTCCTCTTGAATCTGGGCCGGAAACAGAAGATCCCCTGGAATTTTCAGCACATGATGATGTTTTCAGGTATGCGAACTATGTTATGGGCTAGTACTCCTGTTGTCTCACACTTTTACAGCACATGGAAAGCAGCCTCAGGAAATGTAGAGATCTCCTGGTCCTCTTAACACATTGCATCTACTGCTCTTTACCCCATCATACCTAGTACCACACTGATACTCTAAGTTCTGAGCAACAGTAGGATTTCTTTCTAAGAAGAAAATGAAACTAAAGGGAATTTTGTTGGAAAATACAGTATCTGCCAGAAACTGGCATAGAATAGGTATTCGACTTTCCCTTGACCTATTCCAGATCAATTTTCATATCAGGGAATTTGTACAGTCATTTCACATATTGTGTACTTGAAGATAAATAGTGTATAAGTGGTGCCATCTTTGTCCAACGTTAAGACTTCTCCCTAGAATCCCTTTCCTTTCCTATGCAAAACTCCAGGAACTTCCCATAGTTAATACAAAAGTGAATCATATCTAAGTATGCTCAGTTATTAGTTGAGAAAACAGGTATTAATTGCATACTCACCTAGTGCCAAGAGCCGTTCTAAACACTAGTGGGTGTAACTGACAAGTTCTCTGCTCTCGAGAAGGTTGTGTTCTACTTGTTTAAACCATACCTGAAATCTCCTTTGTCCAAAAGAAAATAAACCAAATGAATTTTCTGACCCTGAACTACTCTGGGAATTGTGATTTCTTTCTGTCCAATCAATTTTCCTACCATCAGTCTTGCCTTATTCAGGGACCTTTTTCCTTACATGCCTTGTATGTATGAATACACTTACTTACACTCAGGGCAGTTCATGGGAATATATGTGAAATTACAATAAACAAACAAACACTCTCAGAATAGAGCAAGCAAATACAATTTGGGGCATGCAGGGGGATATGAAAAAACTGAGGAAACTATCACTTATTAAATATCTACTATTTGCCACTCACTATAGATCAGTTCTATGAAGCAGATATTAAACCATTTTTTAGATAGAGAAACTGAGGCTCAGGACCTCAAAGAGGTTATATAACCTGGCCAAGGACAAAAGCATTCCTGAACCCTGAAGTGGTTCAGGAATTCCCGAAGGCGAGAGGAGACTCCACTTTGAACCCACCCAAGTGTCTCAAAATCCATATTTTCAGAAGTAGTACTAGGAGTAAAAGACTTGTTTCACTTTCTGTTGCATTCTAGCCTGTTCTGCACAGTAAAGGTTTGGTAGTTTCCAAGTTGAGAATGAGTTATTTAACCAAGTATGAAAAAATGGAGATCCAGAGTTTAAAATTGCCCTTCTGTAGGCTTCTGACAGTGCTTCCCTCCATTTCCAGATACGCTAGAATGAGACAGTCATAAAGAGGATAAGTTGAACTGGTAGGTGATCTTTGACTTAGAACAGCAATGAACTGTGGAAATAAGTTGACTTCTATTATGGGAAAACAAAAGGCAAGTTTGATCACTTATAAGTAGGAAGTCAGTGCTGGGTTACCCTTTAGCAACTCATTTCTAGGAGCTGGAAAGCACTTTTCCTTCCTTCCCATCAAAACATCAGTAGTTTTACTCTGGAGAATAAATACTCTGGCTTATTTTTAAAACTTAAGTATTAAATTTTAAACAATGCTTTATTTTACAAAAATCACTTTGAGAAAGGTGTGAGGTTTTGAATAGCCATGTTGGGATATGAAGTGTCTACCCAAATGGCCACCTGACTTGATGGTTTCTCCAGGGTCTGGCACCTTCTATGTTTGCTTAGCTGTAGGAATTAGAACTGTGCTAAAAACTGAGGCCAGCAATACAGTATGTATGGCCAAGGGATGTGAGGAGGCCCAGAATTTGATGATATCTTTATGATATTCTAAAGCAGAGAGTCAGCATACTATGGCCTTTGAACCAAATCTAGCCCAACTTTATTTGTAAATAAAGTTGAAACACAGCTATACCCCTTTGTTTACATATTGTCTTGTCTGTTTTTGCATTACAAAGGCAGAGTTGAGTTGTTTCTACAGAAATCACATGGCCCACAAAACCTAAAATATTTACTATCTGGCCTTGTTCTAAAGCCTCATCACATTAAGGGAGTTGATATCTTTAGTTTAATTCAGGAGAATGCCCGTCGGTTAGTTCCCATCATCATAAAAGACCATCATGCCAAATTTTCAGGACATCTACTACTATATATGATTATAATCCAGAGAATGACACCCATTGTCTTCCATATTGAGCGTCCATGTCATCTGCCAGATATCAGTCACTCATTGTTAGCAGTTCACCAGCTTGACCTCAAGGGTTGTAGTCATCTTGGGCCAAAGTGAGCTTCTTTCTATAGAGTTGCCTAGATTTTTGTTTTGTATGTTTTTCACATTGAAGTGAATCTGAACAAAAAAGAGATTGGGTTACTTCTATTTTTAATGCCATCTTAATTACAAATTAATAATATTGATGATATTCCCTGGCATGGTGGAAAAAACATTGGATTTTCCACTAAAAAGCTATCTTCTTAGCTTTAAAATGAGGAAATTACAATGTTATGTGGTTATATAATGGAATCATAGATGCTCAACTCAAAAGTCACTCTAACCTTTCTAAGACCTTTTTTTTAAATGTTTTATTTATTTATTCATGAGAGTCAGAGAGAGAGAGAGAGAGGGGCAGAGGCAGAGAGAGAAGCAGGCTCCCCGCCTAGCAGGGAGCCCGATGTGGGACTCGATCCCAGGACCCTGGGATCATGACCTGAGCTGAAGGCAGACGCTTAACCATCTAAGCCACCCAGGTGCCCCCCTTTCTAAGACCTTTTATGAACAATGTTTTGAGACTCAGATCCAGAGCAAGGTAGAATAGGCATTATTAGTGTTTTTCTACAGATTGAAAAGAGAGAGAACCAGAATGAGGGAGACATGGAGATATTGGGTATCTTGCTCATAATCTTACAACCAGTTAGAGAGAAAATGAGACTTGAACCCTAGCCTCTTGACTTTGAATTTAGAGCCTTCTAACCTGCATGGCACTACTTCAGATTTACCCTTAAGGTCATGAGAATAAAAGTTAAATCAAAACTATGCCCTTCCTAACACAGGCCAACCCCAACATGTATAATGTCTCTCACACAAACCTGATCCTCATCCGTTTCACAATAAATCAAACATGTGGGTGACACCCCTCCCACATCAGTTCAAGTTCTACACTGCACCTACTGACCCCCATTAGAGTATAGGAGGCATCACGTGAGTTCACCATGTGCAGTGCAGTATTTTTCTTCAAAAAAGAATGCTCTAGACTCAGCTTTGATGTTCTGCATGAATTCTGTCATATTCTATTTACTCAGGATCTAAAGTTTTAAATGTATTTGCCAGGAAATAAAGAATTTAAAAGGTCAACTTAAGGTAACATAAGCCAGAGAGAAGGTAAAGAAGCAGATCACATAACATATTGTCTAGCATTTTCTGTGGGAACCAGAAAAGAAAGACAGTCCCTTTAAAGAATATTTGTCTTTGGGGATCCTGGTGGCTCAGTAAATTAAGCATCTGACTTTTGATTTTAGCTCAGGTCTTGATCTCAGGGTTGTGAGTTCAAGCCCCACAGTTCAAGCTGGGCATGGAGCCCATTTAAATTTTTTTTTTTAATATTTGCTTTAGAATATAGCCTAGTGCTTTTAACTATGCCTAGAATTATGACTTTTAGTAGCCCTCTGGAAGACTCTAGTTGTCCATGCTTCAACAATACATTTATATGGAGCCTTTCTTTACATAGCTCAAAACATTTTTCAGAGTCCTTTGGAGATGGTGAACAATGACTCTTTATCTAAAATGGGAGTATGTAGCTAATAGGATCCAACAGTACATTAAAAGGATTATTCACTATAACCAAGTGGGATTTATTCCTGGGCTGCAGGGGTGGTTCAACATCCACAAATCAATGAACATGATACACCACGTTAATAAAAGAAAGGATAAGAACTATATGATCCTCTCAATGGATGCAGAAAAGGCGTTTGACAAAATACAGTATCTTTTCTTGATAAAAACTGTCCACAATGTAGGGATAGAGGAAACATACCTCAACATCATAAGAGCCATCTATGAAAGACCCACAGCTAATATTATACTCAATGGGGGAAAACAGATATTTCTCCCAAGGTCAGGAACACAACAGGAATGTCCATTCCCACCACTGTTGTTCAACATAGTACTAGAAGTCCTAGCCTCAGCAATCAAACAACAAAAAGAATTAAAAGGCATCCAAATCAGAAAAGAACAAGTCAAACTTTCACTCTTTGCAAATGACATGATACTCTATGTAGAAAACCCAAAAGACTCCACCAAACAATTGCTAAAACTGATACAGGAATTCAGCAAAGTCACAAGATATAAAATCAATGCACAGGAGTCTGTTGCATTTATATACACTAACAATGAAGCAGCAGAAAAAGAAATCAAGGAATCAATCCTATCTGCAATTGCACCAAAAACCATAAAATACCTAGAAATAAACCTAACCAAAGAGTCACAAGATCTGTACTCTGAAAACTATAGAACACTTATGAAAAAAATTGAGGAAGACAGAAAGAAATGGAAAAACATTACATGCTCACAGACTGGAAGAACAATTATTGTTAAAATGTCTATGCTACCCAAAGCAATCTACACACTCAATGCAATCCCTATCAAAACACCACCAGCATTTTTCACAGAGCTGGAACAAACAATTCCAAAATTTGTACAGAACCAGAAAAGACCCCAAATAGCCAAAGCAATGTTGAAAAAGAAAACCAAAGCTGGAGGCATCACAGTTCCAGACTTTAAGCTAAATTACATCCACACAATATGGTACTGGCACAAAAACAGATGCATAAATCAGTGGAACAGAATAAAAACCCCAGAAATGGACCCACAACTCTATGGTCAACTAATCTTTGACAAAGCAGGAAAGAATATCCAATGGAAAAAAGACAGTCTCCTCAGCAAATGGTTTTGGGAAAATTGGACAGCCACATGCAGAAGAATGAAACTGACCATTCTCTTACACCATAT